CTTTAAAAATATACCACTTTGGTGCACAACTAACAGCTTTAGTAATCTGATGTAGTCGAAACACCGTTTTTTCGCCTTGGTAAAATACTTCTGAGTAACCCACAAGGTGTTTTATTAGCCCATAGCCAAAGTAAAAACAAACTTTGTGGATAATTGTGAATGAAAATCCTTTGTAAATGTCGATATCGAATTGAAGGCTTATTAGTTATTTCGATGAACCGAGATTTTGATGAGCCGGTACTAGAGCTGTATCTTTTATTGGTTTGTTTCACGGGGTCGATCCTCAACAGGAATCCAGATCTATTCTGGTCTAGTTAATGTGCAGAATATACTCCCCGGAGCTCATTGTTTGATGCTTATCTGCCACCAGTTTAATAACGCTGTAACATTTGACATAATTATCACGACCGAGGCTCATAAATAATCGGTTTCGTCTAAAGCCGGATGAAAAAAGGTGTACTAAGGGGGGTGCTTTTGTGTACGATGTTTAGTATTCTAGAACAGTTAATGCCCCCACCTTTCAAAAGCGGAATTCACTTTAAGCGGAGATACAATACCAAAGCATTCATTTTTCTCTTGTATCATTTTTGATTCATGTTAGGGCTGGTGAATGTAAAATAATATACCTTTTGTGTTTACTATAGGCCGTTTATTCATAGGAGTATGGCTTGTTAAACGATCTACTGAAGCTGTAAGAGATGTACCAAATGGTTTGGCGATATATCAATATGTGGTGCAGAGGGCAGCCGCCACACCTCATTTCTTAACGAAGCTTTGATAAATCGAAATTTGTAGAAAATAAATTTATTCAATATTCGTTGACCTCAGAATAGCTGATCTGACTCGCCTACAGCGGTATGACTAAAGTTTGCGCGTCAAGGTTAAAGAACCAGGGGTCATGGCTAAAGCGTTGCGGGTTTTACCTAGAGGAATGTGAGCGAAGGCTAAAGGACGGCGGGTTTTGGCTAAATCTTGATGCAAAAAGGTGTAGTAACTAGTACCGCATTCAGACTGTGTGCTCCTCGTGGGGATTACGCGCAGCAAACGGGAGCACCGGAAGCGGGTCATTTCGCTCGAAGTTTGAGCAATCGAATGAAGGTAGGAAAGGTCAATGGGTCAGAGATAGTTACAGGCACATACGTGTCCAATCACAGAAATGATAACATCGACCATATGTATTAGTCACGTGACACATGGACTAACATATGATTGGGGACTCCATTGTTCTCAATATCTCAATTGGTTTCAAAATCTACGCAGCCCAATATGTGCTGACTGAAGTTTTCAACTTTTGCCGACATATTCCGGGTTCGGCTTTCATTTGCAAGCTACACTATAAAATCGGATGTTTTTAACCTTCACGGAGTGTAAATAAATTGGTTCTTATTGTCTCAGTTATAACATCTCAGTGTGACCATGTAGAAGTGCAGCTGTTTAAGACCAGGAGAGAAGAAGACGGTGTTCAAGGCACAAATTAAACTAAATAATACAAACCTCTGCTTTCGTGAAATTCCAGTGCAGTGGCCGCATCTGCTCCCAGGGAGAAGTAGTTGTTGAACACTTTCAGTGGCAAAGACGAGTTCACGGGACGATGTCGTCCACTTTCATCCTCCTCCGGATCGCTTCCACTGGGAACATCTGTGCGCAACGTGCAGTCCACCTGCCACCTGGAAGACACAGTGAAGTAGACGCATGCGAGAAAAGAACAGCAGTTTTCAATTAGAGTTAATCAACCGCTATAGCCCGGATAAAGAATGAAAACTAGGCGGTCTAGGTACGCAGAATTCTCCAAATGAACAAGAGCGGGGCTCTCTGAACCATCCAATCTGTTCTAAAACGTAATACTTAAAAAAATGAGGGATTTTTTGACAAATCCATTGCATCTCATCCGTCATGAAGTAAACCCAAAAATGCCAGTTAATCCTCAAGGTAACTCACAACCAAGACTCCAATGTGTAAACTTACAGCTTGATCACGCTGCTCCCTAGAGGTTGCCTATCAGTACTCAGTGACATGTGTATCGTTTTAAAAAAACAGTGTAAGATACATTTTGTGCTCGTTTTTCCCGTTTTGTAGTACTTTTCATGGCACAAAATGACCGTTGGTGAACAGAACCATTTTTTTCACTCACTT